TCTGACACACTTCCGGTGATGTCAGGGGGTGTGGCATATGCAAATAAGTTATGCCGATGAGTTATGCTAATGAGCTCCTGCACCTCTTTTTCTACGAAATGACCTCTGCTAACATCAGTTCATATTCCCAGGCTGTACAAAGTTCTGGGGCCACCTAGTCTGTTCCCTTATGAGCTGTGGAAACGTAGTGTATTTGTAGTACCTGTTTAGGGAAGTGATTTTCCCTCTTCTGTTCATTGCTGTAGGACAGGGGTGTCGAACACATTTGTTATGTGGGCCGGATCTGACATAAATGAGACCTTGCTGGGCCGGGCCATGTGTGTCATAAAATGTAATGCCAGGTAGCGGAGATATAAACTTTATAAAGGACACAAACACACAGGGGTTTTTTTTTACTTAAAATAAAAACACTTAAAACAGTACCTCAGTAAGCTGCAAGCCTACTTTTGATTTATCGACATTCACCACAGAAATCTCATATTCAAGAGTTCTGAGTCTAGTACCCTGGTTAAAACATGAAATGGCCGAGTGATTAAGAGAGTCTGGCGAAGCAAGCTATGATGCAGCAGCAGCAGCAGAACTGGAAGCAGGAGATGTGGGCATGATGAAAGCCCTCTGGGGGCCTGATCTGGCCCCCGGGCCGCATGTTTGACAACCCTGCTGTAGGATTTGTGAGTGTGTTCCATTTTGCCCATTTATTTATTCAATTCATGTGTACCCCGACTTTTTCCTCACTGTGAATCCAAAGAGGCTTACTTTGGTTGCCTCGCTTCCATTTTACCCTCACGATAACCCTGTGAGGGAGGTTAGGCCGAGAGCGCTTGACTGGCCCAAGGTCGCCCAGCAAGCTGCAGTGGCATGAGTGGGGATTTGAACCCAGATCTCCCAGATATCAGTCCTACACTCTTAGCCACTACACCACACTGGCTCTGTCATTCATCTGGTGTGAAGGCAGCAATTCTGTTGTTTTACCACCGTGGCCCGCAGACGCTGACAGGTCTCTCCTCTCCTTTTTCAAAGACAGCCGCTAGCTACCATCCCTGGATACAGTGGCAGTGAGTTCCAAAAGAAGATTCCCTGCTTCCAAATGGTCTCCTAATGGACTCTGTGTGAGAGGGAAGGCAAAGAGGCTGGAGCTGGGTGATCAGTGGGAAGAGGGGAAAGGTGGCCCTTCGCCCCAGGCATTGGCTTCGTGTGGGGGCGGCCTCTGCACAGCCCCCTCCTGGGGTCTGTATGATGTATCCTTTGGTCATCATAATGATGGGCCAAGGGTTGCCAACTTCCAGATGGGGGCTGGAGTTCTTCTGGAATTACAACTGATCTTCAGACCGCAGAGATCATCCCCCCCCCCGAGAAACTGGCTGCTTTGGAGGGGGGCCTGTATGGCGTCACGTCCCTGCCGAGGTCCCTCCCCCCTCTAAATTCTGCCCTCCCCAGGTTACGCCCCCGGGACTCCAGGAATTTCCCTAGAGCTGGCAACCCTGGCTACCTGCCATGTATCAAACCTGGCTGTGATTTGCCCTGACCCTGGGTAGCCCAGGCAAGCCCGACCTCGTCAGATCTCGGAAGCTAAGCAGGGCCGGCCCTGGCTAGTATTTGGATGGGAGACCTCCAAGGAATACCAGGCAAGCCCTATTTCTGAACGTCCCTTGCCTTTGAGCCCCACTAGGGGTCGCCAGAAGTCAGTTTGACTGGATGACAAACCACCACCCCCCAAAAAAATATAATTTAAAATTGTGTTTAAGAACTTGGCTGTGATTTCAAGGTCTCTTCCCCCTCCCCTCCAGAAACCTCTTTGCAAAGAGTTCTTGTAACAACACTTTGGCGTGGTGCAGATAAAACTGTTGTTTCGTCCTTTTGTCCCAGGCAAAAAGTCTTTTAGAGGCTTTTTAATCTTCTGCCTGAAATACTTTTTTTCTAATGCTTCTGTTCTCTTTTTTTTTAAAAAAAAGACATCTCCTCCTCCTCCTCCTCGGTACGAGGTGTCTCGTTAGTTCATTATTAGCTTTGCCGCCAGCCACAGAAGCAAAATTGGGTTTTTGGATATTGCTTCGTTTTCTCCACAATTCCCCCCCCCCCACCTCATCCTTGCTGTCTTTTCTTTGTAGCGAGCTGTACATATTAAATGTGTTTAATAAGCTCCCTTCATCACAATCTTGCTCTTACCATCTAAATTAGAATGTGAAGGCGTCGCCTTCCAGGAGCTGCGGCGCGTGCTGGGCTTGGTTGCGCCGACGGCAATCCGGCCTCTCTCTTTTTGCTTAAACGTTCTCTCCCAGCTTGACTTCCTCTTTGGACGAATCACTCGCGGGCAATTCGCTTGGCATATTGGAATGCATTTTTGTTCTCACTGTGTCAAATACCACGCTCTGCCTGTCCTCTGGAGTTTGGAGAGCATCGAGGAAGACCTGTGTGTTTTGGGTAATCCCTTGGCATCTCCCTGGGACGTTTCTTCCTTGGATTCCTCCGTTTCTCCTCCCTTTGCACCCGTGGAGAGGAGTCTTTGCCAGCCTGCGCTGCTAGGGCCCATGTTCTTGGAGTTTAGGGCAAGGGGTGGTGCAAAGGTGGGCAGGCTTCAAGTTTGAAGGGCCTTCCTTGTTTTTCTTAGTTCTGTGGGGTCCACCTACTGGAACCAGTGTCGCAAAGTGGGGCTCCCCTGAAAGGGGCAGAGCCGTTATCTGCTGCCCTTCCCCATCAGCCCTGCACCGTGATACCTGTCTGTACAAATATGAATTCCCATCTGAGTCACTTGCATGGGAGGGATCCCAGCCTCTAGCCCTACAATGTGCACAGACCTGGCCATGCAGCCATTTTACAGACGAGGAACACCAAGGACAAAAGAAGTGATCTTCCATTTTTAAGGAGGGATTAGTGTCAACCTCCTCATTTGCCCTGACCTGGATGGCCCAGGCTAGGCCGATCCAGTCAGATCTTGGAAGCTAAGCAGGGTCGGCCCTGGCTAGTATTTGGAAGGGCGACCTCCAAGGAATACGAGGGTTGTGACGCACAGGCAGGCAATGGCGAACCGCCTCTGAAATGTCTCTTGCCTTAAAACAGGTCTAGCTCACCACCTAGTGGTGAATTATGCTAACAGAGCTAGAACTGCTGGCTGCCAGACAATCTTAGGATCCCCTGGCTATACGACACCCACTGCCATACGGTAATCATTCATTATTAATTATCCTCGTTTGTTAGAGAGGCATGTCCGCGGTGTGGCCAACCGTATCAGTGGTGTAGGGGTTGGAATGATGTCCTGGGGGGAGGGGGCCCGGGCTTGGCCAGAGAACTGCCAGACAGCCGTAGCAAAGAGACCGCCCTGTGGCTCAGGAGCTAGGAGCTTTCAGTGCTCTCCTGTGATCCATCCCAGGATCTACCTGTAGATCATTAACCACCTTTTGCTTGCTCCCACATCAGAGCCAACGGTGCAGAGTGGGACTCCTTTACATGGGGGTCCCCAGAAGGGGTCAGAATCCGCATCCGTGCTATGACACTTTCATGCGTGGGGCTGAAAGCGAATTCTGTCCTGGAAGTCCCTCGCCTCCTTCTTGGGGTTTCCTGGGAGGAGTGAGATCAAATGCCTTTCAGACAGCCTGAAAAATTCGTTAGTGCAGTTCCACCCTAAGGAGGGGAGCCAGGAAGCCCCTAGTTCGGATTTCACCCCAGGCCGTGACCTGTTTTATTGCAACTGGCTGTCTCATTTCTCTGTTCTGTAATACGGGTATAATGTTGAAACCCTTGCCCAAAGGCACCTTGCTCCAACTGCTGCACGTCTTGCGAAGACGGAAATAAAATCGAACTGGGGATGATTTGACTCAGACTGACCAGCCTTTGTGAAATTCAAGCAGCCCCTAGTTCGGATTTCACCCCAGGCCGTGACCTGTTTTATTGCAACTGGCTGTCTCATTTCTCTGTTCTGTAATATGGGTATAATATTTAAACCCTTGCTCCAACTGCTGCACGTCTTGCAAAGATGGAAATAAAATTGAACTGGGGATGATTTGACTCAGACTGACGCCTTTGAAATTCAAGGTGGGCACCTGAGCCCTGCGTCTGCTGGCACGGCACCATTTTCGGTTGTGGTAGCTGTCCTCCACTGCACAGTGCACCCCGTGGCTCTTGGTGTTTCCACTTAACGTAAGACTTGCATCGCTCAGTGAGCCGAAAAGCAGCTAGCACCAGAGGGAGGTGCTGCGCAGTAGATTGGGAAGGGGAATACAGTTTGGAGATCCCCCTATTACAGAATCCCGTCCTCCAGGGTGCTATAATCTCCCAGGGAATGGAACAGGCCAATCTCACCATTATTTGTGTGTCATTCCACCCCCCCCCCCGGCTTTACCTGAGTCTCAGCTGCCCTCAGTGTGCTGTGCTTCCTGGAGCACACTCAGTCCTTCTCATCGGGCTATCGAGGGAGGGTTTATTTTGGTTGATCTGCCAAATCGTATTCTTATGTGCAGGGGTCATTTCGTAGAAAAAGATGTGCAGGAGCTCGTTAGCGTAACTCATTAGCATAACTTCTTTGCATATGCCACACCCCCGACATCACCGGAAGTGTGTCAGAAGGCAACACCCACCACTCAGGCTCCACTGGACTGTTTTGGATTGCTAGCTATTGGGGGGGGGGAACGTGCAGATCTGTCCTCGCAGAGGAGGGAGAGCTTGTACCTGAATAAAACCTGGTCTTAAAGGTGCCACGGGACTGTTTGGGGCCGGGGGGGGCGCTCTGCAACTTACCTGGCTGCTTCTTGTTCTGACTGAGGGCTGCTGGGAGCAGGGGGTGGGGCTTGTTGCACGTGCCCGCCCCCTGGGCTCTTTACTGCCGGAGCTCCGCTCCTGTGCGCTCCTGCAGGAAATGACCCCTGCTTATGTGGGAATCCCCAAGACATGTTGAGGGCCTCCCCCCTTGTTTTGGGTGGTCCCGGCCATGAGACTGGCACAAGCAACTCAGTTTCCAGTTGAATGGCGTAGTTACTGTTGTCCCTTGCCCATTGTTTTGTCCTTAGGTCTGGAAGCGATCCGGCGCCTGGTTCTACAAAGGCCTCCCCAAGTACATCTTGCCCTTGAAAAGCATCGGCAGAGCCAAAGAGCCGCCCCTGAGGCCTCGCCACGTGGAATCGCCGACCCTGGAGGTCAGAGGCGCCGCTGCGACTCGCTCCTACACCTGGGCCAGTGTAAGAGGTCAGCCTTTCCCATCTTGCTGTTGCCAGATAATGGGCCGCTTGGGAAGGGGGGAGTGAGCGCCTCTGTCGTCTGTCATTCTCGCATCAACCCGCAGAGCTCGCTCTGTACGAAAAGATAAGAGCAGCCCTGCTGAATCAGACCGCAAGGCATCACCTAATAGCATCCAGTTTTCCACAAAGACTAACCCAAGTGTGCCTGGGAAGCTTGCAAGCAGGACACAGGAGTTCCTGTTGTCTCCAAGCATCTGTCATTCAGAGATAGACGGCCTCTGGCCATGAAGTCTCCTGCTTTACAGCTGGAGAAACGAGGCCAGAAGTGGGGCTTGAGCCAGGTCTTCCCAATACGCCTGCTTCCAGATTGTCTTTCTGGATCAGACCCGAGATGTGTCTAGCTCAGGCGGCCCCAACTTTTTTGAGCTTGTGGGAACCTCTGGAATTCTGACATGGTGTGTTGGGCACAACAACAAAATGGCTGCCACCAAATGGCGGCCGCAGGAGGCGTAGCCAGCCACGAAATGATTGCTGCAGCCTAACGTCAGTCACTCAATGAAGATCCAAAGCAACATTTAAAAAAATTGAATCGCTATTCAAATTGCATAGTCTCCAACAGCCAATCAGAAGCCTGGCTGGACAAAAGCCCTACCCAGCCCCACCTACTTCCTGAAAACATTTGACAGGTAAAAGAAAAGATGCCAGCGGGTCCCATAGTGCCCACAGGGAGCACATTAGGGACGCCTGGTTGAGCCCTTCAGTCTGCTTGTACAGCTCTGTTGAAACCTTGCAAGCTTCTCTTTTGTTTCTCCCTTCAACTGATACTCAGAGGTATACTGCCTCTGTCCATGGAGGCCTAACTGTTGGCGGATCTGATTTTTTTTAAAGCCATCTTTGTGTGCGGTCCATAACCACATCTGTTGTTGTTAAGGAGCTTTGTTTCTTCCGGTGCTTCAGCTGATGGCTGGCATGCTGCCCCTTTTTGGCATAGATCCCCCAAACTCTAATTTATGCTTCCCCTTTCCCCCTTCCCCTCTGCCATAGATAACCCCTGAGCATTTTAATTTGCAGCAGTGACTCCCCCCCCTTCCCCTGCTGCCAGATCAATAGAAGGGAACGAGTTCTGTTTGATTTCTTTCTGAATGCAGAGATTAGCGGGCCTTTTTGGTCTCCGGTTTGTCAAATCTCTGCAGTTGGCATGTTGGAAAGGAGGCTGCTGGCTAATGTGGATACTTTGAGCTGGGTCTCATTGGCGGTGTCCCAGGAAGCGACGTGGGGGTCTTTGGCTTTCTTTCTGCCGGTCATTTAAAGCCCATTCCTTAACGAAGCACTCCCAGCTCAGAGGTAATGGTGTCATTAAGGATGAAAGGAACTGGCCAGCAGCTGTGAGGTTTAGTGTCTCTTGGACACTGTCTGCCATTCCAGCTGGAAATTGAGCATTTCAGTCATTAGTGCTCTTTTTCGGTTGAGCCAAATCGATTTTATTTATTTAGGGGATTTTTATGCCTCCTGCTCAGCTTACAATTGAAATCGTAAATTATCAATATAAAAACAAGTAAGCCGTTAAGACGTGAAACTTCAGTCCTGAACTGGATAGTGCAGGCAAGCTTGATCTTGTCTTATCTCAGAAGCTGAGCAGGTCCAACCCTGGCAAGTATTTGGATGGGAGACCTCCAGAGAATACCAGGGCCAGGAGGCCAGAGGCAGGCTATCAAGCCACTTCTCCGAATGTCCTCCGTGCCCCAGTAGGAGTCGCCTAGGGTTGCCAGGTCCCTCGCCGTTCCGGTGGGGAGATTTGGGGGGTGTTCTAGGGGTGGGTGGGATGTCACTTGGAAGTGACATCATCGTGTCTGGGATGTCACACGCAGTGCTCTGGCTTTTGGGCAAAACTCTATGGCTTTTTGGCTTCAGACCTGTAGAATTTGCCCCAAAACCAGAGCGTCGCCATGCGACGTCCCTGAGGTAATGTTGGGGACATTGTGCAATGATGTCCCTGTTTGGGGGTGGAGTTTCCCCCTCTGGCCAGCTGGCTAGGGGCTGGTAACCCTAGAGTTGCCAGAGGTTGCCATGACTTCCAGGCACAAGCACACACACACACAAATGCAAAAATACTTTTTAAAAAAGGCATGGAACTTCAGCCCCGTGGGATCACTTTTCCCTTGGCTTGGCTCATGTTTCTGGCCTTCTGGCCTCCCTTGGCTCTGTGGGAGATCCCCTCCCTTCCCAGGTCAGTCAATCTGATCTTTTCTTGACAGGTTGCAGACAAGTTTTCCCTGAACAGTTCAGAGCTACTATAAGGGCCTATGGTCGGGTTGCTAAGCCTGACCCGGAAGCTGAGCCCGACCAAGAGGAGCTAATGATGGCCTGCTAGGAAGGGCTGGAGCCATGCTGTGGCTTTAGCAGGAAATTTAAAAAGCACACCCTGACCACTACACCATAGCTTGTCCTTTTCAAACAGCGCCAAAGTGATTGTGTTAGGGTGGAGGCTTTGGGAAGTGGGATTTTGGTGGCCAAGAGCTTCTATATACCAACTTTTTAAAAAACGTGAGGTAGGTGCTCGTTTTCATTGCTATAGAGGCATGAATGTGCCTTTGCTCTTCCTGCTGTTGCCAAGGAAACCCAACTCAAGTTCTAGGCCTCAGCCTTCTCTCGATTTGTCACTGAGCTGATGTTGACAGCAGCATTTGGCTGCATTTGTAATTGGCTGTGGGCCCTGGCCATACAAGGGTAGCATACATCTCTTATTTTGCTTTTTTAAAATTTTAATTGTTTATATTTTTGTTGACTTTCCATTCTCTTCTTTTTTTTCACTGCTGCCTTTATAGATCTGTATGCATTTTATACAGGTTTTTATATGCAGTGTCTATACTGTCTATGCCTGGAACACTTGTATAGATGTGCATAATGCAAATTTATTCATGGACAAGGAATGTTGAACAGGGGGGGAAATCCTTATGAGGAAACAGCATGGCACAAAAGTACAGAAACACAGGTTCAATTTCCACAACAGATGAATGAAATCGAAGCAGGAAATTTTGTCTCGCATCAATAGGGAAATCCAAAATCTTTCCTATATTCTGAGATGGAAATAAATGCCACGGATTCTCAGTAGACAGATCCTCAGACCCAGCTAAGAGAAATCATGGCCCAGCCTCTGGATTCAGTGCACGTTAATGGGATTTAATTAAACCTGCACATCTTTGCCTTCATGTTATAAGTCTGTGGAGCCCTGCTAAGAGGATATTGAGGCTGGAGCTGTGGACAGTTGTGCCCAGGGGTCATTTCCTGCAGGAGCGCACAGGAGTGGAGCTCCGGCAGTAAAGAGCCCAGGGGGGCGGGCACATGCAACAAGCCCCGCCCCCTGCTTCCAGCAGCCCTCAGTCAGAGCAAGAAGCAGCCAGATAAGTTGCAGAGCCCCCCCCCCGGCCCCCTGGTCCAAAACAGTCCAGTGGCACCTTTAAGACCGAGTTTTAATTCAGGTACAAGCTCTCTGCGAGGACAGATCTGCACGTTCCCCCCCCCCCCAGCTAGCAATCCCAAACAGTCCAGTGGAGCCTGAGTGGTGGGTGTTGCCTTCTGACATACTTCTGGTGATGTCAGGGGGTGTGGCATATGCAAATAAGTTATGCTGATGAGTTATGCTAATGAGCTCCTGCACCTCTTTTTCTACGAAATGACCCCTGGTTGTGCCCAAATTTAAACCCAGGCTCCCTGAGATTAGTTGCTGTGGAGTGGGTGGGGATGAACCATAGCGTGAAGGGCCACGCGTTGAAGGTATTGTTCCATTGACCACATGAGGACAAAAGGCCAGGCTCTGAGTATTGTATGCCCAGCCTAGCCAATGCAAGGACTTCCTACTCCCTGCTGAGGGTAGGACCAGATGTCACTCACTTCTGAGCCGGCAGGGACCTGTGGCATTCATACCCCAGTCTTGAAATTCTGGGTTCAGATTGCACAGTTCCCGACAGTGCCGAGGAGACCTTCTGATCGGAAATACAGGAAAAGAGTAGGAGGACATGGTTCTCTTCACAGCAGTTGGTTTTTTTTGGGGGGGGAGGTGTCTTTTCAATTGTTTCCCCGCACATCTTGTTTATAAGAATTAGACGTGGCAGTCACCTGGACAAAGCCGTGGGTGGATTGAGGACGAGAAGAATTACTTTTGTGTCAATCAAGTTGGAAGATCTTTATGTTCCTTTGCAAGTGAACACAGGAGGAGAACGGCATTCAGGGCAAGTGTTTTGTCCTCAGTAGGATTCATCGTTGTGGTGTGAAGCATCCCCCGTTTTATACCAGGTCTTTTGGAAGATGTTCTGGGGCTGAGCACTGAGCTCAGATTTGCCCCTGTGAGGACTGTTACGATGGTCATCCATTGTCATTGTGACTAAATGGTAGAATTCTCTCTCTTCCCTCTCCCACACAGTTTTCCCCCATCAAACAGCTGGCAGCTAAATTGGATTTTTCTTTTTTTCATGTGGTGTTTAAATAGCAGAAGTGCTTGCAGATTTTCACAGTGAAGAGGGAACAGTTCACCAATTCAAGTAGCACCCTTAGGTTTGTGTCAGCAAAACCGAGGTGTGTTTGTCTCACTTTTCCTTCTCTCTCGCCTTTTCGGAAACGCTAAGAGAAGGGGTAATGTTTAATGAGGCCTGTCTTTGGCACAATTTCTTCTTGGTTTTGTTTTGTTTTTTTCCCTTCAAAGAAAAAAGTCAGAACTGAGTGACAGCCAGGCAAGGGGTATGTGATGTGCCTTCCTGTTCAAAATCTGTAACCTGATGTCTCCAGTATGGAAACATGTGCCTTGGCTTCAAGTTTCTTTCCTCCTGCAGGAGCTCAGAATGGAAATTCTTAGGGATGCCAGCCTCCAGGTGAGGCCTGGGGATCCCCCATAATTACGGCACATCTCCACACCACGGAGACCAGTTCCCCTGGAGAAAGCGGATACTTTGGAGGGGGGGGACTCCTGTGGCATTATGTTCCACCCCCAAATATCCAGGAGTTTCCCAAACA